TTCGCGGGCCGGCTTCCCCCTCCCCCGGCTCTGCCTGCGCCCCCCTCCCTTGCGTTGTCACCTTCCTCCCCTCCCTTCCTCTCCTGCCCCTCCATTTGCTCCTTCCCCCCTCTCCTCTCTCCTCCATTTTCTCCTTTCCCCTTCCTCCCCTCCCTGGCCCGCCTCCCCCTTCCACCTGTCCTTCCGCCCCGCTCCGGGAGCCACCGCTTTGGGTTAGTTGGGGGCTGCCGCCGGCGGCGGGGGAGGGGGCCCGTGGACTGCCCTCTCCCGCCGCCCCAGCCACACCACCACCCAGCGCCCGAGCGTCTCCCAGCGTCGATTGCGGGCCTCGAGGGAGCCCAGCCCTCCGTCCCACCAGGATCCGTGAGTGTCTGCAGGGCGGGGATTGGGCCGGGGCCGGCCGGGTCCTGGAGGGCTGAGCTCAGGGCCGGCGCCGGGCCGGGCCCCCACGTTCCGGACCGACAACTGCTGTCCCCCAACAGGGGCCTGCGCCGCGCCCTCCGTCCCCCAGGCTCCATCCCCCCGGCCTTTGCTCAGCCCTTCTGTGTGCGCCGCTCCCCCGTCCCGGGTCCTGGGATCCTCAGGGGCCGCCGGGCTCTTACTTGCGGTCGCTCACTCCTCCGGCTCCCGGCAGGTCTGTCTCCGCCCGCTCTCTCCGAGCCTCCATCCTTGGCGACTGTCGTTCACTCGCTGTCTTTCAGTCTTTTTCTGTCTGAGCCTCGTTCCCTGCCCGCCGCGGCCCGTGCCCGTCCCGTCTCGTCTTGTCTCCTGCACCTGGCTTTCCGTTTCCCAGTCTCCATTTCACGTCTCCCTCGGGCCTTCTCTGACTTTGCCCAACTTCTCCTCGCCGTGCTGTTAGCCGGCCCCTTCCTGCCTCCCCCATCCCGCTCCTTGCACTCCGTCCAGACTCCTGGGCCTCCATTTCCAGCCGCACTGCCCCTCTTTCCGTGTCCTCGCCCGTTTGCTTCTGCCTCTCTTCACCTGCCTGTCCCCCTCTCTAACTCTGGACCTGGAGACCTGTTTCCTTCTCTCACTTTTCAGGCCCCCCCCTTGAGTCTCTCCCTGCATGACCCACTCTGGGTCCCCGTCTCCTCCACCCCTCACACCTCAGCCCTGCCCGATCCCCTAAGTCACCTTGTCTTTACCTTGGTGGTCTGTCCCTTCCTACTCTCCTCATACTTTCTCCCCCCTCCCTGTTACCTCGCACGTTAACGCCTTACCTCCATGGCCTTTCTGTTCCCATTGCTCTCTGTGCCTTTGGGACTTGCGGGCTGGTGGCTCTTTTTCTCTCCCACAGTAGCTCTGTGGGCCTCAGGTAGATGCACCTCTATGGGGGCTGGCCTCCGTCCAGGCCACTGTCTCTTCCTCCAGGCCTCAGTTTCCCTCCCTGACTCCATCCCTCCTCCCTCTCTCCGTCACACTCTCCCGGGGTGCTTCTGGGCGCCATGTGCTTTTCCACAGACTTCTGCCCCCTTCTGCCCTGCCTCTTCTGTGGGACTCACTGTGCGGCTCTGACATACTTTGTCTCTCTTTGCTTCTCTCTTTCAGACCAGCGACCCCACTCCCTCTCTCTTTCCAGAGTTCAGCTGCTTTTCTTCTGCTTGTCCCTGTTATCTTTGTCCCTTCCCCACCTCCCCTTGCCTTCATTCTCCCTGTTAACCTTCTCAGCTTTGCCCCTTCAGTCACTTGCCCGCCCCCCCGTGTCTCTCCTCTGGCCAGGCCCCTCGCTCTGCCCCTTCTACTCAGCTGTGTGCTGTTTCCCACCTTGACCTCTATCAGCCTGGGTCCCTGGGTCTCCAATCTGTCTCATTCCCTTCCTCTCCTCTCTCACTCTCTCCATCTTGTCTCTGGCCATTTTGGTGTCTTATTTCTAGTCTGTGTCTGTCTGTCCTTGCATTTAGCCCTAGTGACTTCCATTTGGTCTGTCCTTCTGTCTGTACCTTCCTGTGCCTCTGTCAGTGTGCCTCCCCCCCCACCCCAGCCTTGCACTCTTGTCTCTGGCTTTCTGCTTCCCACCTGTGTTTGCCACCTGTGGGTTAGCCGTCACCCCTCATGTCGCAGTCTCTGTGTCCTCTACTCTCCTGGATTTGCCTGGTGCTACTCACCCACATGCTCCCAGCAGCCTCTGGTGTCCCAGAATGACTTGTCTGTCTCGTGGCCCTGCCCTCCACACCTTTGGTGCTGTGAGATCACTCCACCACTCTGGCTTCCCTGCTTCCCTTGACTGACCATCCCTCACCTTAGAGGAAAAAACTATGGACTGCAGCTCCCAGCCAGCCCACCATGCCGTCCCACCCCTCAACCTCATTCTCAGAGAGAGAGACTGCTCAAGGTCACATGGGGAGCAGAGCAGGGACTGATGGGGGCTCCTGCTACCCTGGCCGGGGCTGTCCTGGTCCCCTGAGCCAGGCTGAAGTGCTGAATTGTACCCCTGTCCTTCCCTAGCACCTCACCGTCTCAAGTTTCCCTACCATGGGCTGGGGTGCCAGGCTCAACTCACAGCACTCCAGACTTCATAATAACCTTCCCCCATGGATAGACAGTGTCCTTTCCCCACGGGCACGGCCAGGGAGAGCCGTACATCTGGCCAAATTCATCTCTGCCCAGTGAAATGGGGACCCTGTAGCAAGCCAGGGCTACCCAGAGGAATCCCTGACTCCCCAGGAAGGGAGCAGTTGTGAGGAGCAAAGATGCATCTTCTCCCCCTTGTCCTCAGCTCCCCAGATCAGCCCAGTGGTGTGGCACCCATTCTGGCGGGTGGTCTACTCCCTGCTTTCCCCAGCCTCTCCCCTCCCTGCTCTTTCTGGTCACACCTTGAGTCTGTGTCTTCCCTCTATCCTCTGTCTTCCATATCCTCTCTGTCTCTCCTACATCTCAGCGTCCCCCTCTCTGGCTGCCCCTCTCTTCCTCTCCCTGCTTCCGTCCCTTCTCTCGCCACCTCCATATCTCCTCCTCATCTCTCCCCTCTTTCTCCTGGTCCCCTCTCTGCCTCCCTATAACTCCCCATCTCTGTTTTCTATTACTTTC